GAAGTTGGCATAGGTAACTCATCTTTTAATATGAACATCAGAGGTGACATTGGACACAAGGCATATGAGTATCAGGAATATGGACCGAAGCCATGTAAGTGTCAGCAACCTAAAAAAGCCTTCAGATATCGCCCCTCCTTTAGAGCACAAGAAAGGGATCACACTGGAGAGAAACCCTATGTTTGTAAAGAATGTGGAAAAACCTTTGTTTTCTATTCAAGCATTCAAAGACACATGGTAATACACAAAGGAGATGGACCTTATAAATGTAAGTTTTGCGGGAAAGCCTTCCATTGTCTCAGATTATATCTTATCCATGAAAGAACTCACACTGGAGAGAAACCATATGAATGTAAACAATGTGGTAAATCCTTCAGTTATTCTGCTGCCCTTCAAATACATAAAAGAACTCACACTGGAGAAAAGCCTTATGAATATCAGGAATGTGGGAAAGCATTTCATAGTCCCAGATCCTATCGTAGACATGAAAGGAGTCACACGGGAGAGAAGCCTTATCAGTGTAAGGAATGTGGGAAAGCGTTCACGTGTCCCCGTTACGTTCGTATACATGAAAGGATCCACTCTAGGAAAAAATTTTATGAATGTAAGCAGTGTGGGAAAGCATTATCCTCTCTTACAAGTTTTCAAACACACATAAGAATGCACTCTGGAGAAAGACCTTATGAATGTAAGATATGTGGGAAAGGCTTTTGTTCTGCAAATTCATTTCAAAGACATGAAAAAATTCACAGTGGAGATAAACCCTATAAATGCACGCAATGTGGTAAAGCCTTCCCTCATTCCAGTTCCCTTCGATATCATGAAAGGACTCACACTGGAGAGAAACCCTATGAGTGTAAGCAATGTGGGAAAGCCTTCAGATCTGCCTCACACCTTCGAGTGCATAGTAGAACTCACACTGGAGAGAAACCCTATGAATGTAAGGAATGTGGGAAAGCCTTCAGATATGTGAATAACCTTCAAAGTCATGAAAGGACACAAACACACATAAGAATACACTCTGGGGAAAGATGTTATAAATGTAAGATATGTGGGAAAGGCTTTTATTGTTCCAAATCGTTTCAAAGACATGAAAAAACTCACACTAGAGAGAAACTCTATGAATGCAAGCAATGTTCATTAGTTCCAGTTCCTTTCGATATCATGAAAGGACTCACACTGGAGAGAAGCCATATAAATGCAAGCAATGTGGGATAGCCTTCAGAGCTGCCTCAGTCCTTCAAATGCATGGTAGGAGTCACCCTGAAGAGAAACCCTGTGAGTGTAACCAATGAGGGAAAACCTTCAGATCTGCCCCACACCTTCAAATGCATGGTAGGACGCACAATGGAGAGAAACCCTATGAATGGAAGGAATGTGGGAAACCCTTCGGATCTGCCCGGAACCGTCAAATTCATGAAAGGACACAAGCACACATAAGAATGCACTCTGTAGAAAGACCTTATAAATGTAAGATATGTGGGAAAGGCTTGTATTCTGCCATGTCATTTCAAATACATGAAAAATCTTACACTGGAGAGAAACTCTATGAATGTAAGCAATTTGGTAAAGCCTTTTTTCTTTCACTTCCTTTCGATATCAGGAAAGGACTTATACTGGAGAGAACCCCTATGAGTATAAGCAATGTGGGAAAGCCTTCACATCTACCTCACACCTTCGAAAGCATGGTAGGACTCACACTGGAGAGAAACCCTATGAATGTAAGCAATGTGGGAAAGC